TGGCGGGCTGCTGCCTCTCCGCCGAAGAGAAGGAGTCGCAGCGCATCAGCGCCGAGATCGAGCGGCGGCTGCGCCGGGACAAGCGGGAGGCCCGGCGGGAGCTGAAGTTGCTGCTGCTGGGTGAGTGAGTGAGTGCGGGAGTGAGGGCGGGATGCCTCCCGCCCCGACCCGGGGGGACACCTCGTCCGGCGGCCTGGAGGGGCTCCTGCCGGTGCAGGTGTGAAGTTTCACCGTCGGTACCCCCGCCAGGGCTGGGTAGGGGCGGCACGGCACGGGGGGGGGGGGGGTTGCTGCCTGGCTGTTTTTTTTTCCTGCGAGAGAAACCCGAATCAAACACAAACGCGCCCCCCCGGCCGCTTGCGCGGAGGCTGTGAGCGTGATGTGCGATGAGGGGAAAGACAACTGGAAGCTCAGGAAATAATATTTACACGCCTTAACTCCAACGTGTGGCCGGTCCCGTGTCTGGGAGAGCAGGGGGGCTCTTGGCACGGGTGTCCCCAGCCCCGTGTTGAAGGCCTTCCTGGTGACGGGTGGGGAGAAGCAGTGCCAGCCTGCCTGGCCCTGCTCACCTGCCTCCGTCTGGGGCATCTCTTCTACCCGGAGCATCACTTCCTACACCAGCTTCTTCAACCAGTGCCATTTCACTAGTGGTGGTCCAGCTTGGTGAGAGCAGATGAAGTTGGCAACTTCAAGCCTTTCTGGCAGACCCCAGAAAGGCACACCTACGGCAGGGTGCTTGCTGTCCTCACACCGCCTGGGAAGGGAAACAGCCCACAGCAGTGGCTGAAAGAAAACAAGAAGCATGAAGCTGTCTGGTACAAAATCTTAAGCTAAGATGAAGCAGCCTCAGACGAAGAAAGTTTCATTTCTCTGAGGCAGATGTTTGTGGCCAAACAGCTTGATGCAGAAGCTCTTAGGCATTGAAGCACCCAGTGTGGGAGCTGCTTCTCTTGCTGTAACCAGTGCCAGAGGGAGAAGCCTGTCTGTGGTGCAGTGGGTTGGTGAGCTAGTGCTGCCTTGTGCTACTGCTGTCACTCCCCTGCTAGAGATCTGCCTCCATCTCTGCTGCAGATGGGTCAAGGTATTGCAGTTTGTGTTAACGAGCCTCACCAAATAAGAGCCTCACCAAATAACCAACCAGGCTTCAAACAGTAAGTTTTTAGGAAGACCGAACAAGACCGTGGGTCAGAAACTAAATTTAAACAGGCTTCTTTCAATACAAAATATTTTTAACATGAAACTCGTTTTAGAAAATGAAAACCCAGAATCCTGACTTGCCCTCAGTGCCTTTGCCTATTACCTGTGTAAAAATCTGTGGTTGACTGATGCAACAGTCTAAACTTACATCTGTTGGATTTCAGATTTTGCGGTGAATATTTATAAGAAACAATAATTGTCTGTTAGAAACTCCTCTAGTGCAATGTTTTATCTGTGCTGCTGATGTCTTGAAAGATTGTGAAGTAACTTTTATTCCAATTTGCTTTTCTTCAGTATAATGCTCCACCTTAGTGCAATTTAAATGTTATAATCTTTACTTTTTCTTTCTTCTCTGTTTACTTTTGGAATATCATATACTGTTGCAATGTTGCTTTGCTTTAACTGGAAACAGTGCAAATGTTTTTCTATATTAATTTACTGTTTTTACCAAGAAATCAGGTGAGCAGAACAGTTCAGTTTGTTTTGGAAAACGTAGGACGAACAAAAAAACCTCCATAAACCAAAAAACTTAAATTGTCACTCTAAGACTGCTAACCTGTTGAAGAAGCAGTATGCTTTCAAAGAAGAGACCTTTCAAAAGCACTCATTTGTGGCAGTACTCACGGGTCTTAGGGGAATACCAAGACTTTTTTGAAACTACCTGTTGCAATAAACAAACTAAAACTTCATTCTCACATAGGCAAATTTAGCAGTTCCTTTAGTTTTTTACATGACAGGAGAAAAAAGTGGTGATTCTGGATTACTATCCGTCCAGCAATCTTTTGTCATCAAAAACCAGATTTTCAGGGGATGAGGTAGGAATGGCATGAGCATGGCTTCTCTCCTTTCCCCAGCCTGTGCTCTCAGCTTCCAACTGCTCCCGTCTCAGCTGCTCCAGCTGCTCCTTTCTGGAGGTTGGGTGTGTGGACAGAAGCACTGTATTGAACCAGGAACTGCCTTACAGGTAGACAAAGCACTTTCTGGCATTTATTGCAGTACCAAGACACCTCTTTGGACCTTTTATTTCCTTAAAAGAAGTCATTACATTTCTACAGGAAGCACAAATTTATCTCTCCGAGAACAGAAAAGTTCTAGATGTGTCATCACGGTTAAGTTTTTTGATGGCACTGGGCATGCTTACGTTCATGGATGTGGTAAAATCCAACTTCTTTGAGTAGTGGCATAGGAATAAGAAACCTATGATGAAACCAATTTGAATTTGCCCAAGTCAGAAGGGAACAGAGAAAGGAGGTATCAGTCTAGTGAAAGTAGAGTCCATCTTCCTAAAGTCCTTAGTAGATCTGTCCATATTAATCTAACCAGCAGACTATATAAATTAATCCAAAATAAACATCTTTGGATTTAAGATAAGATGAAAGAGGCAAGACTGAGCATCTAGAGTGATTAGGATTTTTTTTCTCACCACGCTAATGGCTTTGCATGTTGGTTTGTCAGTTGTCTGCTGTAGCTCTCTCTGGGTTGTAAATACCAGGAAACATTTTACTCTTCCATTTTGAATGTGGCTTTATGCATCGTTTTTATTACTGTCAGTAACCAGATCTGTCTCTGGTGAATGAAAGGCTGGTGAAAACCTTAAGGGCTGAGACAGACCTGAGTCACTCAGTGAGCGTGGCTCTACCTGAACCCATGTGAGTGTTGGAGGGCACAGTCAAAGCTTCAGCCTGTGCAACTCCTTAATTCATTGCAAACACAGACGTGAAAACCTGCTGCTGTGCCTCAGCTCCTCACTGTTAATGGCAATAATGGCTCTTGGTTTATCTTGCAGGGATATGTGCACTAGAGGAGTGCTTATATCCTAAGGCATGAGGGCGTATCTGGTAGTGATTGCTTGCTTTTCTGCAGCCTTCCTCCTCCATGCTGTCTGCCTGCCTTTGTCAGATGTATTTACTGTATCTGCGTTGCCTTCCGTGAACAAATTTTATAAAAAACTGAGAAATCCCTCTGCTTGTCTGCCTGGTAAATTTGTTCTTTTTCTTTCTTACCTGTTTGAAAATTAGTACCAAGAAGATACAGTGTAAAACTAATCTAGCTTGAATAGACATGAAGAGAGGAGTCTGGTTTAGTCTGAAGAATAATGTTTTGACATGAATGTGGTTAATTCCTGTTCATTTTATTTTAGTAGTTTAGTAACGCAGGATTCACAAAATTGACTCTAGTCAATTAAACAAGTGCTGGTTCCGAATTGAGATTCTGTTTGCATACTGTGGCTTCTAAGAGTAAATGACATAACCCATTTCTTTAGAAGCTAATCAGAGCAAATACTTGATACAAATCACTTTAAGTAGCCACAAGCTTCATTATGATGGGTAGTTGTAGAATATTTATAAACTGTTTGGATTGTGCAGACTAGCATCATGCAGTCCAGAGATGATGTAAGCTATATGTAAGAACAGCTCTACCAGTCTACAAATACATCTTCATTCTTAATTATTTCTGAATCTCATTACAGATAATTGGATCAAGGTAGCAACTTGTTTTAAATTAGAAAAACTCAGTGTGCTTTAATATGGAGAACCTGATATTGCAGGGCTGAAGGTAGACTGGTCCCTGGATGAACATGCTGAGTGGCAAAACCAATCATAATTTAAAGCAACTAACTCTTTGCTCGGATTTTTACCCATCAGTATGCATGTCAAGACAGTGATTTTATTTGAGAAAGGTATGTTGAAGCTATCAAATGATGATTTATGAATTCTCCCCATGTACCTTTAATTAAGACACAGTCCTCTTTAAATAGAAGAGTTTAAATCTTTCTCTTGACATTATCATTATGTGGTTTTAAAAGTTTTAAGGATTGTATTAAGAAAACTAAATTAATTCCTTTGGAAGTTTAGCAAAATGATCGTTAAATGCCAGTGCTTTGTGTGAAAACCAATTTTTTTGTCTTCACTGGGTATTAGTTGAAAATACAAGTTATTTTCCAACTCTAGTATGCGCTGTGCTTCATTTTGGGAGAATTTAACTGTTGTGTTTCTAGTTGATGCCGTTCTTACTAAAATATAAAATAATTTCCTTTGAAACATTCAAAGGGATAGCAGTTGCTAGACAACTAGTAGCAGTTGTTTTAAGATAAAACAAGCACGATGTTTTGAGGAGGAAAAGGATCACACGGCTTTGTTGCTTTTGGTTTTGTAATACCTGGTATCCAAAACCCGTGAAGCATCACTTTGGAAGGGGAGAGATTTGCAGTGAGGATACGATCTGTTGAGAACGTTTGCTGCCTCTAAGGTCCCCAAAAGGGTGATCCACTGAAAGGAATAAAGTGGCATCCCTGCAATTCTTCTATAAAGTGATGTCATACTGTTGACAATGTTGGCTTTTTGGTGCACTGTCATTTTCTGAGGTAGCTGATGTTCATTCTTCGTGTTCCCTAAAGAAAGCAACAGAACAGAATAAGGGAGAACATGCTATTGTGTGTTGTTTTTTTTTCTTGACTGCTATCATAAGGGAAGATAATAGAGTATTTTTTTATTTCATCCCATTTGGTCTTGTTTCCAAAGGAAGTAATAATATAACAGGCACAGCAAAATTAGAATTTTCCTGAAATGATTGTTTTACCTAAAAGGGAGGTTAGTAAGTAGTATAATGCGATATATTTACCCTTCTGGAAAAGAAAATGAAAAATTATATTTTTATAATAATGCTATTAAGTCTGTTAACTGCTAAGTGTTCTTGTTAGGGTTGCCTTCAGATTACCTTCTTTTACTGTATTTGCTTATAAGTTACTTTGTTTGCTTAATATTAGTGGAAAGAAGTAAATCAAGTACTATATCTTTCTGTTTTGAAACTGAACTACAAGGAAGAGCTTAAAATAAGGGCTCAGGATTCCACAGGTCCCCTGTTGTGCAGGAACACTGTGTATGAAGGATACCATACACCATGGAATGGAAGGATACAGACAC